CTGCACGGGCACGACGTTTGCGGGATTGCTCCTCATTGGAGAAGGCTTGGGTGACGTTGTCGAGGGAGAGGTCGTCGGAGAGGGTAAGGAAGGTGACGAAGTTGTTGTAGTCGGAAGGGAGGGCCTTGATGAGCGTCATGGACCATAATTCGGAGTCGAGGTCATCAAGGGAGAACTTGGCGGGGCGGCGCTCTTTGATATGGGAGATGTAGAGGTCGACGCGAGCAACGAGGTCGGAGAGGGACTCTCCCTCTTGGAGACGAGTGGAGAAGAGTTCGGAATAAGCGTCGAATCGCGTACCAGTCTTCTTCTGCACAAAGACACTCTCCAACTTCTCCCACATCGCCTTCGGATCTCCCTTCTCCTTCCTGATATGCGCCTTTTGGTTCTCCTCAACCAACAACCAAATCTCCCCACTAGCCTTCGCCTTCCTCTGATTCCACTCCCTCATCTCCTTCGCTTCGGACGCGGTCATGGCCGAGGCGTTAGGAGGGGTAGGAGCGATGTCAGTGCCATCGACTTGGCCCCAAACACCCTTAGAACCGAGGACAGCTTCAGCATTGTCGACCCAGGAGCTGTAGTTGTGGCGATTGAGCTTGTCAACGGCGCGTTTGTCGTCGGACATGATGGCGGATTGGATAGTGAAGGAACGGAGGCGATAGCGATGAAGGGGAGGCGAAACGAAGCTAATCGATGAAGAGGCGATTTGCGGCCAAGGGAAGAGATGGAGACGTCGATAAGAGGCGCAAATTGAGTCCGATCGAGAAGAGGGCGAATGCAGCGAGTAGATATCGATGACGACGAGTCTAGCGCAAAGAGAGAGAAGCAGAGAACTCGTTCTGAGGCGAGTAGAGAGAGATCTGAGTCTCAGAGATCAAATAGGAGCTAAGCAGAACGTTCTGAGGCGATTTAAAGCGCAGGGCCCATAACCTGTGAGGCGCAGATAATCGAGCACTCGAAGAACGACTGTGAGAAGCGTCACTGTCAATGATAAAGAGACAAGGACGCTTCCCACAAGTTAAAAGGACGCGCTCCGGCGCTTACCGGTCTACTATACAGTTGGAAAACTACCTGCCTAAACGGGACGCAGAGGCGCGGAACCGAGGCGCGGAATCCGGCCCTCTGCGGCCCGCTGGCTGGCGAAATAACTAAAGTCATAACTCTGCAGTAAGTGGTCCTATCAGTCCCGGACAAATTGCTAAAATATCAGGAAAATTCCCTCTGTCTCGTCGTAATACTCCGGACAATTTCATCGTTGACTTCAAGCTTTGGCTAAACATTCTGGGCGGCAGGAGTGAACGACATTTGGTGCCTCGACCAGCATGACAAGTGGCGAAGGTTTCAGTTGTTCATGCACCTGTGTTGTGAGCCTGTCTCGGGAACTGTTATATGGATTAAGGTCTGGTGGATGAACCGGAACCCTCGGCTTGTTACTGGCTTTTATCTAGATGAAGTAGATGATAGGGGAGGTCCGTGCTTTTGACTGTGATTTCTTTTATACTTCAATGAACTTAAACTAACATCTTTTCACACTGCACAGAGATGCCTGTCTTGACTCAGAGTGATCCTGGATCTGAGAACTACGGTGCTGCCAATGCACAGACCATCTTAAGACACCGGCACGAGCCTTCCTTATCATACTCGATGCAACATAAATTCATGGGTGGCCATCGCAACATCAAACCTGAAATAATGTGGTCCATCCTACGCCGTGGATGGAGCCCAGGATTCGAGGCTTTGTTTGATGAAGGGGTGACTAGCGGGATTATATGACCCACTGAGGAAGAGCACTTCTTCGAAGACATACCTTTTTAGCGACATCACACAAGGACTGCAAGGAACTCCTATTGGCTGAACAGGAAGAACCTGACGTACCACCTTATTATATCGTTCATCTGCCGACTTCTTCCCACCTTTTCCCTTGCTCTTCCCCTTCCCCTTGCCTTTACTATCCACTGGCCGAAGATCCTTCAACTCCACAATCAATGCCTTCGTCTTACCCTTGGCCTTACTACTCTTCATCTGCCGACTCTTCCATTCCTCGCTAACAGCATCCACCAATTCGGGATATCGATAGCTGAGGCTGAGGTACTTGGTGGCGACATCAATCTTCTCTGCAATTTCATGGCGGAAGTCGTTCAAAGTCATGGACGACTCGATGCTGACAGTCTCGACAGCATCATGTGGGACAGCAAATGTGATGGTGAATGGATCTACACCATGCATTACAGTGCTTCATGAGATGGGAGGGAATGAGCAACACCAGCATTGGGACGCACCTTCATCCTCAGGCTCGTCATCCGAATCCTCGCTGTCTGAGTCACTACTGTCCTTTTGACCTCTCTCTCCTGCACAACCAATAATGTCCACTTTCTCTTCTTTGTCACCTTTGAACCATTCCCCTCCTCTTCTACTGCATCCTGATCAACATTCACCTGCTCGTTATCGGACGGGAGACTTTGAGCACGTGCTGGATGAGACCGAGCCGTCTTGACAGGACCAAGGACTTCCTGTATGGCAGCGTTGACTTCAGCCCTTGAAACTTTTGGTGGGGGTGTGAGTGGATCGTCTTCGGATGCATCAGGAGAGGTAGTAGTAGGCTGAGCAGGAAGTTTCAGCTTGACAGTGCGACGGGGTTTTGGGTGAGCAGTGGTAGAAGCAGGCTGAGGAGACTGTGCTGGAGACGCATCACGAGAGCTAGCAGCAGATTTAGATGGCGTAGGAGTTTGTGAGGCAGAAGAAGTAGCGGCAGTAGTGCCCCGTTTGCATCGCTTGTTCTTGTTGTTGCTCATGATGGTGGTAAGAAGCAAGGAGCGTCAGGACTGGTGGAACTGTGGCCCATGTCTAGCTTATGCCCTTCACACGGGCATAGCACCATCAGAACACAACCGTTTCGCCTCAAATCTTTTTTGTAGCTGTGTTTTGCCTCCAGGGAGGGTCAGTTTTGCACCCTCTGCAAATATCGGACGAAATCACAAATGGATTACACCATGCCTTCGCACTGACGAGAGGACCAGGTTTGTACATGTAATTCTACGCTAAACTGAGTGTGCTATGGTCATTTTAGTCTGGGCACCAAAAACCTCGCAAAAGCGTGTGATCACCCAAAAAGGCAGGTCCGCCACGAATTATGAAAACAGCTCTAACAAGACTAAACGACGATACAACAAGAACAAAGTGCTTCCACATGGTCGCCCCAACAACATCTACTCTGATCCGTTGGGCCATAGTACAATCATCTGAGCAGGGAGGTAGCATCTGTGGAGATTCCTTATGGCTTGGATTTTACAGCCTCGGAGCAGGACTTACATTCAGTGGATGGAAGGGAATGTGTACTCATCTGATGAGTCAGATAATGCTAGTATCACCTTCAGTGATTAATAGAAGTGAACATTTTGCACAATTTGTGTGTTCAAGTCAGACATATTCATATCCATGTCACTTGTAATTTTCTTCCAACTGAACAAACACCTATCTTGGGCCACAATCATCTGACTTGTAGCCAAACGTGATATTGGACAAACTTGGAGCTGTGATGAGTATCAGACTTCTCACTACTACTTATTCTAAGATTTGTGGTGAATTTGGATACCATAAAAACCTCCAGCTGGTCACCTCCCAGCACTGTTTCACCGTCAGCTCGCCGCTGCCACTCCACCTGTAGCCGAAAGTGACGAAAGTGATTTTGGACTTATTTGGGGCTGAGATGTGTGCTAGAATTTGCGGTACTGATTATTTTAATGTTTGTGGTGAATTTAGATCTCAAAAAAACCTACCGCTTCCCACTTTACCGCCACTGTTGCAGTAACCACAAATGTACATACCTGACGAACCCGCCAACAATCTCCTCCTCGAGAAGGAACACCGGTCCTGTCTTATCCCTTGGGTCGGATAGCATGCTGTGTACGAAGTGAAAGCTGTTTACATCCATGTAACACTCTTTTGGGGGATTGCACTTCTCGGCCTGGATCGAACGGATGTACTCGTAAGCAAATCCCATCAAGCCTGTCCCAATGTACAGCATATTGGCTTCGCGTAGCATCAGCGAGATTTCCTGCTCATAAAGGTAACATTGACGCTTGGGCTTGGGCTTTTTCTCCAACTTGTCAGATTGTGAGATGGGCAGCATGGGGGAAGAGGGTGGGTCGCCGGGTGGCAGGTCTTGAAGCTTCCTGCAGCGCCAAGCATCACTGAGGAACATAGGCCGTGTGAGGCGCAGATAATCGAGCATTCGAAGAAACGACTGTGAGAAGCGTCACTGTCAATGATATTGCCCTCACAAAGTAATAGAAAAAGAAAGAGACAAAATCTATAGTATGAGAGGTATCTGAATGCGAACGCGAATGGACACAGATGAAATGAATAAGAACAGACACAAGTGACCGCAAATGGAGCAGGTGAACGCATCTGGTCACACAGTGACAAGACGTGTCCTTGTTACCACGTGGCTGTGGCACCGGTGTGCCGACCATGCCTTGTTCTCACTGGCTCGATGTGCTACTTACTGTGCATACAACACCTCTTGCACATTCGCTCAGCACATGTAAAGGCGGGTCAGTATAATCAACTTTATAAAAATTGATGGCTAAGTACAACTTTCTACCACTATTCACTCGCCATCCTGACATGAAGCCGAGGCCCACCGTGATTGCACAGAGGGCGCTGTCAGAGGTCTCCGATCAAACAAAGGCTGGCAATGCGGGTAAATGATCATGGTTGAACCGTAACCAATGACCCACCATACAGCTCAGTATGCTGGCAAAGAGTCCCTTCCTCTGCACAATACACATCCTAATCCTTCCTAATACACTCTTCTCTCTTATCGTCCATCAACATCTTAATCTTCCTCCCTATCGCCTTCTCTGCATATGCCTTGAACACTCTGAAAGCCTCAAAAGCCTCACTCTCTCCCAGTGATACTCTTAGTCCTTCTTTGGTAGAGATGACAGATTGGGAGGGAGAATTGGACGCCTCTAGCGAGTTTATTAATCCGCCACCTCCCCCAGCTCTACAGAAGGTTGACTTAGCCAAGCTTGCCGGCAATCAACCTTCATCCATGGCACCATTTTGTCGTGACGCCACAAAAGCAAACACCCCAAGACTATATGCAAAGATGCCCTCATCCTCCACTGGGACGTTTGCATGAGCAGGAAGGATTGGTGATGGTAGTCGGATGGATGATCCCTATCTGCCAGTCGATGAAACCTCAGGAGACGAGTCGGAGAACATTTATGTGATGGGAAGGAATGATCCATGGGGTGACAGTGCTGACATGAGGAACATGCCTGTACTCGTAGTGACGTAAATTCTTCGAACATGGTCACGTGTCATTGAGTCTTCGTGTGAAGCAGGGCATGCCATGAGTACCGAGACCCGTGAGTACCTGCCATGGATACTCGTCAGGCACACCATCAGGTACCTGTATCCGTGGATACAGATACTCGTTCCCACGGGTGTATGCACGGATACAGGTCTAATGCCGGGGCTCACAGGTACTCGTGGGAGAGTACCCACCATATTTGGTATTTCCAGGCCGGAGCTTGCCGGAGGCCAGATGTGTGTCTAGAGACTCTCTCTCCTTGCTCTCCTCCTCACTCTCTCCCACTTCACCGAGCGTACACCACTGTGTGACGGAATTGACACATTGTGTTGCCGTCAATGGTGGTGCCGCTCATCCTGTGTACTTGTTTCCATAAGGGTCTCGAGGGTCTCGACTCTCTGAGTGAATAAGTTTGGAGTCCCACCCCTTGCTATCGTGTACATTTTGGATGTAGCACCATCAAGCAACGTGTCTTGAGCTCCTGCACCGGGCCCTGTACTTTGTTTGATGAGAAACAGCCTGCTCATTGTTGACAATGGCAGCGTTAACCCCGGTGAGTCTCCACTACCCCCTCTAACCATAAAATTGTCTGTTCTCACTCGAATCGGTGTGCGTTCCCAAAGTGGTGGGCTCGTTCAACATGTATGGATGTTCTGCATTGTCCCCGGTACTTTATTTGGCAAGAAACGAGAACGACGGTGTTGACCCTGGTGAGTCCCCATTACCCCTCCAACCGTAAAATTGCTTGTTCTCACTCAGTTTGGCGCACATTTCCGATGTATCTGGATCAGTCGATGCATATACACCTCCTGCACTACTCTCTGCACTTTGTTTGATCAGATTTGGCCTGCTTATTGTCGAGAACAACAACATTGACCTGATGAGTACTCCCTGCCCTGTTCTATCGTAAATTTGCTCGTTCTCACTCAATTCTGCGTACATTTATGATGTTGCATAGTCGATCATCGCATTTGGATGTCCTGCATCGCCTCCCATCCTTGGTTTGACACAATTTGGCCCACCCGTCATCGAGAATGATGGTATTAACCTTGTGAGTACCTCTGCTTCCTCCTATCGTAAATGTGCTTGTTTTCACTCAATTCTGCGTACATTTACAACATTGCAGGATTGATCAACACAGATTAATGTCCCGCATCACCCCCCATACTTGATTGGACACAATTTGGCCCACCTGTCGTTGAGAACAACGGTAATAACCTGGTGAGTACCCTTGCTTCCTCCCATTGTAAATGTGCTCGTTCTCACTCAATTCCGCATATGTTTACAATGTTGAGGGGTCGATTGATGCATATTGCTGTCCCGCATCGCCTCCCATACTTGACTTGATGCAATTTAGCCCATTCATTGTCGAGAACAATGACATTGACCTAGTGAATACACCCTGCTACCTTCTATCATAAATTCACTCGTTCTCACTCATTTCTGCGTGTATTTGTGAGGCAGTGGGGACGATTGACGCGTGTTGATGTCCTGCATCACCCCCTGTACTTGGTTGAATGTAATTTGTCCCACTCGTCATTGAGAACAATGGGATTGATTTGGTGAGTACCTCTCCACCCTCTTTCCCAACTCATATTTACCACAGTACCCACGGGTACTCCTCAGGTACCTACAAGGTACCCGTAGATTCATTCTATCTATGAGTACCTGCCCATCGGCAAGTACCTGTATCCGTGGATATGGATACCCGTTCCCATGGATGCCACCCCGGATACAGGTGTGGCCTCTGAGGGAACAGGTACTTGCACGGATATAATCGTGGCATGCCCTGGTATGAAGCGTGTTTGTTTGAAGTTTCTTTTGCCTAAATCCATGCCTCCCATTCGCAAAACTCCATGGAGCGCCACGTCATCCGAGAAATCAAAAATAATCGATTTAAGCCCTACAAATACATTTCGGGGGTTATTCCAGAAGTAACAAAGCACCAAGTCTGTGGCATCGCCAATGCTGCCTGCTATCGCCACGTCATGCATCATAAGCCCTTTCTTTCAGCAGCAGCGGTGAGGAAGCGTCTCCAACAGGCTAAGGATAATATAGGGAGGAATTAGAGCCGGGTTATATGAATGGTCAAGATGTCAATAGAGTTAGAAGAGAGGCCGGGTCAGAAAAGGGTGACACATCATCCAAGCGAAGAGCACAACTTTGAGTGTATGCCGATGTAAGCGCAAATCAATTATAGTGTGGGCATGCATCGCTCACGGTGTCAAGGGTCCCATCATCAAGCTTGATTTGAGACACCCAATTCGAGGGTGGTCTCAAAAATACCGGAAAAACCTGTGAATGGTCTCGAAAACGTCAGTAAACTATATAAATGAGCCTAGCACGGCTATGCTGTCAAGGTAGTCCGCCTAGTACTCTCCACTGGTGGTACACATGTCTACCGGCTGACCGAAGGCATCCGACAAGGGAGAGCACGGGACAGAACAAAGCCCTCGTGCGAGTAGTCTCAAGCATGGAAGAAACCAAGAGACCTGAAACCCTCGTGCGAGTGGTCCCGAGCACGGAAGAGACACAGGGAGCAGCACCAAGACGAAAAGAAAAAGAGGAGATTGTTGGTGTTAATGCTGATGATGATTCAAGATAAGGTTCGGAACACTATATACATGAGATTCAAGCTCAGATCGAACTCAGAGGTACGTAAAAGGTAAGTATGAACCATGTAATTAGAGACTAGGAAATTCCTCTCTTATCCTGAATATACAGCCCAGAAATGGGGTGTTACATGATTTGCCCCCACCGAAGAAGGATCGGAATGGTCAGAGGAAGGGTGGAGGGATGGGTGGAAAGGAATATGTTGAACAGGTGCTTCATGGTCCTTTGAAGGACTTTGTGAAGGAGATGGAGAGTTGTAGAGGGTGTGAGATCCTTATAGTAGAGGATGGGGCCCCTGGCCACAAAAGTGTTCTCGGCAATGCTGCCTGAAACAAGCTTGAGATCAAGCAGCTTCCCCACCCACCATCTTCCCCCGATCTAAACCCAAAGGAACCACTTTGGCTCAAGGTGAAGAACTGTGTAGCAGACCTCCCTGGATTAGCTAATTCTCTTGACAAGCTTTGGGCTGCTATTCAGAAGGTCTTAGATAAGTTGACAGTCGAGTATATTGAGGCTCACACAGGACAGATAGACGCGAGAGTTCAGACTGTGAAGCAGGCAAATAGGAGGCATACAAGGTTTTAAATCACATAGAATATTTCATTGGCATGTAGTCTACAGATTCCATACATAAATTTTGCCCCCAGCAGTTATGTGAGCTCACTATCGCAAAATGACGTGAACACAGAGACTCTGTGTCGACTACGTGTTCAAAGATTTTACATCATCACGGGTACATAGAGGTCGTAATGAAGTATTAAGCAAGGCTATAAGCGACAAACTCTCAAACCTTTACGATGCCTGAGGAACGAAGGTACATTATTTATATTATCTCTTTCTTTTGGTTCTTTTCTTTTTGCTAGGTTTAGTGGCAATGCGGGCAACACAAAGCTCGTGCAGACCCCTAACCCTATATCTCGGTCCCATAGACTAGTCCACAAACCTCTTTGGCTCAGATTTCTCCAGCTCAGAACATCCGGTAAATGAAATTGCCAAGTGTTCCAGTATTCCACCGGAACAAATCCAAGCTTCGCACGCATAAGTGCGGAGATTCAATTAGTACTAAAGATGTTCATTATGTAGAAAGAATATTGGATACTCACAGGATAGGGACCATATATATGTCTGACCAGGGCTTACCACGGTTAAATCTGTGCGGATACCTGCACTGGCAGGTATCCGTATATGACAGGTACCTGTGGGTATACATATATGGCAAGTATGAGCAGGTATCTGCAGATACCCACACGAATACCTATAGTCAAACTGTGACTTACACTAGTGGAATGATATTTTTTTCAAATTTCAATTATGTTCCCTTTGAATAACAACCACTTATCAATATATACACAATAAGATACAGTTCCTAAGACACGTACACAATTTTCCTGGAATTTATACGGTTTTATTTTATCCCCCAAGCTTAGCTGAAGGTTTGAACCAAGCTGCTGGTTCTGTGGTTTGTTTCAAACTCTGCTTCCCTAGCCCTCCCTGACTTGCAATCGCCCCTGAAAATGATAGAACACATCAATTCACTCCAAGTAAAATGCGGAAGTATGCTATAGACTAATATCTTTCTATTGAGCCCATATACATAATTCCTGGGCAACATTCCATTGTGTGGCAAGGTTTCTAAGATCAAAGCTATCTCAGAGCAGGGCATGCGTCAATTATATCCATACGAGTACCTATATCCGTGGGAACAGGTACTCGTTCCTTCGGAGTCTACACCTGTATCCGGTGTGGCACCCGTGGAAACAGATACAGGTACCCGTACAAGCACACTTACAGGTCAGCCATGGCTGCAGGTATACACAGGTACTCACGAATATACCCGCGGGTTTCTTATTGAGAAGTTGAGGTAGTAGTTGCCCGAGTGGCTAGAGGGATCCCAGGGTGAGCAAGAAATATATAATTGGGAGATCTAATATACAAAAGGACGCTAATGATGCTACAAGAAGAAATAAGTAAGAAACTATTGAATAGAAAAATGAAATAAACTCACCAGCAACAGATAGAGAGAAAGCGTGGACTTGCCGTCCAAGCACTCAAAGGCCGTTCACGAAAAGGTAACAAAACAAAACAGAACTACGACTGACCATACTTGACAACAACACACCATGACAAGACGACAAAGACACATATATCATACAGAGTTTGAAAAGACAAGATGCATGATATAAAAGATTGTCCAATAGAAAAAATAGAAAAAGTCCAAACTGGCGAAAAGGGCCCATTCACCGATGAGCAACACACTGAAGATCCTCTGCATCTTTACGAAGGGAAGGGTAGAAAGGGGTGTGAAGGATACCGAAGTCGCGCTGAAGGGCAGTGGACCAAAACACGAGCAGAGCTGTCTCAATCTTCTTCAGCGCAACAGCATCATCCTCTTCTTCGAGGGACTCTACAATATCTGGTGTTATCTGGTCCACCATGAGAACATACATCTTCTCCCCCTTCAAGTCTTCATGCTTCCGCCACAGTGGCTCCAGGTACTGAGACAGATACCAGACCCAATCCAACCACTCATCAAAAGATTCACGCTCCCATCCACGAGGTGCACGGTAATCCTGTAAAAGACGTACAGCCAGGCCAAGCACATCCTCTTCTAGAAAGTTGGGTTGGAGGTGAGATGGTCAGGCAGGTCACCGAGAAGAGGGAGATTGGTGTAATGGTGAGGTTCGTCAAGGTCCTGAGTCACGATAGGGTCGATAAGTAGGGAATGACAGGGGTATGGGTAACCCGGCCGGGTAACGTACCCAGACCCGGATGGGTCGGGTCCGGGTCATCAATTGGGAACCCGAAGCTGACCCGGACCCGTGGTCGGGTCACCCGCGGGTCAGAGGATCGATCCGGCAATTGCCGGAATGCTGTGCGCTTCCTGAAGAAGCTGCCAGCTCATCCGCTTCATCCTCTCTCTTGCCCTCGACCACCGAGTGTGTGATGGGATAGGTGGTGCTTGACACGTAGTGTCCCCACTGACTCCCATTGCAGCTCTTATCAACCCTCAGACGACCAAGGAAAACCTTCAAGACTCACTTTCCGAGGGATAATAGCTCACACCACCCCCCCTTGCGTACAGATTCGACTACTAAAGCTAACCGGGTGTTCGGACACTTTTCAGTGTTCCGGCTCTAGCACCCGCAAGCAATCATTTTTGTTCGTTCTTTTTTGTGCCATACCATCCGTATGTCCACTCGCAGTCGTACTCCCAGAGGAATAGTCTGTAGTTTCTCGCGATAATTAATGGCAGAGGAGAATAGGGCGGAATACTGTTCGAACACTAGGTGGCCCCGGCCCGCTGTGGCACTGAGTGTTCGGACACTTTTTACCCCTTTTTACCCCTCTCTATCGCTACATTCTACATCTATACCCTATTACTTCGATAGAAATGCGTGGCTCGACGAGCCAAACGGCGTGGTGCCGAAAAGCCTGACGAAAATGAATCTGTTGCGGATGCTAGAGCCCAACTAGAGCCGGAACACTGAAATGTGTCCGAACACCCGGTGAGCTTTAGTACACCGTTTTTTCCAACTGTGTCGTTTCGGATTTCTCGGTGGTTCTGGGGGTTTTCAGACCCTCCGAACACGATCCCATTGTCCGTTTGTCCATACGTGTCCGCGTTCATTCGGTACACCCCATTCTTCTCGTCACCCTCCCTCAGACACTAATTACCTTATCACATTCTTTCTAACCGGCCTGTTTCGCGTTTCGCAACGGCTCTGGGGGTTTTCAACCCGTACAAAAACGCTCCCGCTGTCCGCTTGTCGATACGTGTCCGCGTTCATCCGGTGCGTCCAATCTTCCTCCTCCATCCCTCTCAAATAGTAATTGGCCTACTACCTTTTTTCCAGTGGTGTCGTATCGTGTTTCTCGGCGGTTCTGGGGGTTTTCGAGCCCTCCGAAAACGCTCCCGCTGTCCGTTTGTTGATATGTGTCCGCGTTCGTCCGGTGCGTCCCCTCCACTCCCTCATCCTCACCCAAACACTAATCGGGCTGCACGCATTTTTTACACCGTAGGATTTCTCGAATCTTAGTGTTTTCCGGGGTTTTAAAACCCTCCGAACACGCTCCCGTTGTCCGTTTGTCAACGCATAGCTTCGTTCCTTGGGTACGTGGACTTCTTCTCCTCCCCCTTCCCCAAACATTGTTCAACCCCCCACATTTGTTCTAGCCACGTTGTTTCCGTTTCCTCAGTGATTCCGGGGGTTTTTCAACCCTCCGAACACACTCGCGTTGTCCGTTTGTCAACGCGTAGCCTTGTTCTCCCGGTATGTCCCCTTCCCCTCCTCCCTCTCATCTGAACACTAATTGCACTATCACCATTTTTTTCGACTGTTCTATAATTTATTCTGCCAATCCATAGTGTAGTAGTGTACATACCCCTGGCATACCCAGACCCAGCCCCCAACCCGCAGACCCGTGCAGACCCGAATGAAAAACCCGGGACCCGAGAGACCCGTATCCGGCGGGTCCGGGTACACTCAGCTCCGGATCCGGGTAGGTGTATTCTAACCCGTGGGTGACCCGTGTCACTCCCTATCAATAAGCACAAACTCGTGTAAAAGGGCCATCTCAGCAGAAGTGATCGCGAGGAGGGTCTTTAGCTCTGTATCGGTCTCCCAGTCAATCGTGCTGACATCGCATCCACAGCTGAGGAGACTTGGGGCGATTTCGGACTCAAAGTCCTCCAACGAGCAAACACCCTCCTTGGCACGTGCTGGAGCCACTGTACCAAACATTTCGTCAAGCCCTGCACGCCAGTAGCGACTCGGATCGAAGGGAGGAAAGGACTCTCCCTGGGGCCACCTGCTCCGAAACTCTGCTCCAGAAGAGATGTTTCGCCACTGTCTCTTGGTGAGCGGGCGAACTGCAGGATCATGGAGAGAGAGGAGGTGGCGGTTGAAGATATGAGGGCGGAACATGAGAAGAAACTTCCAGCGTATCTTAGCGGTCTCCGGATTGTCACCTGTGAGGAAAATCTCGTACGGTGGGAACCAATAGGTTTGCGAGGTCTTCTTGTCCTTTAAGTTCTTCTTCAAGACATAGATCTCGAGCTCTGTATGAGTGGGATGAGGCTTTGGGAACCAATCGAGCAACAGCGGCTTTTTTGCTAAAGATGCAAGACTTGAGTTGAATGCCTTGTAATCTGACGGTTGATTGAGAAGCTGCATGATGGTGTTGTCCTTCGGAGGCTTTTTTGCCCTATTGGCAGCTGATTGTAATCAATAAGTCAGCGATGAAGCAAACAGCGGTCATGGAGTGAAACTTACCACAAATCTTCCGATCTTGAAGATTGGTCTCCATTCGCTGAATATTTCGGAGACGATTGGCAAGCTGGGGTGTTGGCGCTGCTGGATCGGTGCGAATGGCGACACCTCGGGCCTCACGCTTAAAGGCCAGACCATGTGCAAGACGGTGTGGATGGAATATCCTGTCGAGCTTCTGCCAATCATCTAGAATAGCAATAACATTAGTGAGAACGGAAAGAGGAGATAAAATAAAAGACGTACCATGAGAAGCAAGACTCTCAATGCCAACCTTATTCCGCCATGGTGAGAAGGATGGTTTTGAGAGTGGCGGATTTGAGCGAGGGATTTCGGAGCAGGCAAGATACACCGGTGCAGTCATGTGGGCAAAGGCGAGAAAGATATCGCTATCCTTGGTCGAGAATATCGACCCACGGAGAGAGCGCTGACGATGGTCAGTGAGAGGGTTGGGATATGACTGGACATCCTGTGCCCAGTAGAGGAAAGTGTTCATCTTGACCATGGTACATTTATGTGCTCGCATCACCAACACAAACAGCTCCCATCCATAAACACCCCTGACAAGATGATGGAAAAACTGGAATTTGCGATCCAGGATAAAGCGAGGGAGATCGGTGTCCAAGGCATCTCGATTTAGGAGGTTGTGGCACATGAGGATGTTAGGGAGGAACTTCTCGATGGATGCTCTCATTGAGTTGCGTTTCTCGTGGAGTACCTTCATGATGCTCTCATGGGGAGACATCAGTGGTGTCTGGGTGAGTTTATACGCAGGCCTTCGGTCCATAGGGGATGTCGATGCTGGCGAAGAAGTGGTCGACGGAGTTCGGCGTGAGAGATGGGAATATAGAGGAGCCAGGGAGCATGAGGGTCGAACCGCTGTAGATAGAGACTGGGCTCCTTACGCCCCCAATACCCATCATCGTAAACTGTTACGATGCCTGAGGAACGAAGGTACATCGTTTATACTACCTCTTTCTTTTGCTTCTTTTCTGTGTTAGGTTTGGCGGCAACGCGGGCAACGCAAGGTTCGTGCAGACCCCTAACCCTATATTTCAGTCCCATAGACCAGTCTACGGACCTCTTGAGCTTGGACTTCTCTGGCTTAGAACATCTGGTAAATGAAATGACTAAGTGTTTCAGTATTCTTTCGGAACAAATTCAAACTCCACACACATGAGTACGGAGTTTCGAGTAGTAATGAGAGTGCTTGTAATGTAGGAAGACTATGGGATACTCACAAGGTAGGGACTATGCAGTTGTCAGATAGATGTTCATATTCTACAAATTATGATGATTTTAGCTTGGCAGATTGATTTGATTTACTGTGTGCACAGCTTAATGTTGGGAAAGGGGTCTAGTTTAGCATATTTGATGATTTATGGGACTAGTGCCATCAATGTTATGGGCACCATATATGACTATGATAGACTTGATTATTCTACAAATTATAGTGATTTTATCGAGACCATGCGATGTCTGTAGCTTGTGTGGCAATAATTTTGTGGTTTGTGGCCCAAGTGGCACTTTTAGACACAACAAGAGATCAAATAGGAATGGAAGCGCCACTGGGCTTAACTATCACATGGATTGTTGCTGTGCAACATGCAAAAGCCGCTTCTAAGAAGCACAATTGCCAATAGAAGCAGAATTAGCATCGAAGCATGATTGTGCTTCTTTTGC